TTTTTGTTTTTTTGTTTTTTTCCTTCGTCGTTTTTTTTTTTGTTTTTTTTGGCCAGTGCCAGAACCAGTCGTCGGGTCTTATATCTGTCAATGGACACAATGTGGGGGCATGGTGGTGGACGAGGAGTGACAGTTTTCCGGTATTTACGTTTTGCCGGCCTTTGGCAGTGAATTTAGCTTGAGAGGTCCTGGGGCCAGGTACTCCGCGTCGTCCTCCTCGCCGCATTCCTGAGAAAAAAAAGGTAATTGTAGCTGTGGTGTTTGTTGCGACTCCAGCTGTGGCGCACAAGCGGCGTGACGTGGGCGCGTTGAAGTCGTGCTTGTTTCTTGTGCTTCCTTTCGTTAGAGCCGTTTGATTGTTCCATCGGACGTGTTCTGGTTCTGTGACTCCAATCAAACATCTTTCGACAATACGACGGTGCTTGGGATGGATGCAAGCAATTCTGTTCGAGGGCAGGGATTCCAAATTTTGCTTATAGGTTAGGACTCAGGAGCGAATTCATCTCTGCGAGATGCATGGTGCTTTAGTCGATCTAACGATCCCCCTTATCTTCGGCCTGCGAGCACTGACAATTTGCACACACGTCAGTGAGACCTCCTTTACCTAGGCAGAGCTTGAGCCTGTCACATCTGCACTCTACCCACTCTGTGTGTAGGTAGGTTCAATTTCAATGGCTGCTTGTGGGAAGGAAACAAAGCTGATTGATGATGGCATAAGCAAATGGCAGCCATATGCTATGGTACTTTTTCTTGGGACTATTCTGGGATGGCTTGAATATTTCTCAGGGGAACTTGCTCTCACATTCCTTAACCAAATGAGCCCTCCTCTGTTGGCGATACAGACACACGCGGCCATAGATCCTGCACCCGGCTCTGTGAGGTCTCATCTGCTGAGGCGCTACGAAATTTACTAGCGCACAAAGTTGCGGCCTGATTACGTCTCCTTTGTACTCAGGCTGTTGTCTGACTTTTCATCTTCACCTCAGGTCGTTTAGCCGTCACTATCAGATAGATCCCCTGCATGTATGGACTGAACACGCAATGGTATGAACCTGCAAGACTAAGCAGACCCCTTTTCTTGTGAAAGAGATGACCGGTGACAGGGGAGGGGAAGCGTGTGTGTGTCTGTGTGTGTGTGTGTGTGTGTGAGAGAGAGAGAGAGAGAGAGAGAGAGAGAGAGAGAGAGAGAGAGAGAGAGAGAGAGAAATTCTCACACGGAAGAGTGGCAAAGAGAGTACGAGCAAGATTGCAGCTGCATTGAGTGTGTGTGTGTGTGTGTGCCTGTGTATGCAATGGTGTGTGTGTGTGTGTGTGTCATGCGTGCTGTGGTGTATGTGTGCCTATGTCGAGTGCTCTGTCGGTGTTCTGTTTTCTGGAAGACGTAGGTTGGTGAAGCAACATTCCAATTCACATTTTGGCCTCCTACCGTGGGTGACAGCAATTGAAGAAGAGCTGGAGTTTGTGATTGGGATAGCAAGTGCGTGGAGGTGCAACATTGATGGAGAGGGAGGATGGGGAGAGGTAGAGAGGAGGAGATAGAGATAGGCGATTGGAGGGAAGAAGATTCACAGTCCTCTTCCAATTTGCAGATGGGTGTGGCGTGTCGAGTTAGAGACAAAGAAGAAAGGCGAAGGTATGGTGCAGGCAAAAGTTTTCGCTCAACCTTCGAGATTCGTACTCTACAAGTTCTGAAGTCGGTGGTACCTTTTGATTTGGCCTTCTCTCTAGATTTGTTCATTTTTAAAAGATGCTCGCTTGTCCCTCGCCCGTTCTCGTTGGCTTTTTTTGGTGACTGTATCTTTTAGAGGGGCGCCTCAATTCTCTTGCGCACCTCCATGGGCTGTGACAGTATCTTTTAGAGGGGCAATTGGCGCATATGTTATGGAAGAGAGAGAGAGAGAGAGAGAGAGACGAGGTTGGAGCAAGAATGGCAGCTATGTGGTGTGGAAGGATGGATTGGGGAAGGGGGGGGAGATGAAACATCATAAAGGTAGAGGGGGGAGTTGGTTGCTTATGTCGCAATTGGACCCTCAACTCAAACAGGGTTTCAGGTTAAGGCAGCTTTTTTTGTCGTGAAAGAACGTGAAGAGTATCCATATTTTCAGGTTTAGGGGTCTTTAGTTAAGAAGCTTTTAGGGGGAAGGGGCAACAACTTAGGCCTGGCATTCTGACTTATATACGGGAGCGAGAATCATGTATATTGCAGCATGTTCGCAGATTCGGACCTGCAATGACGAAAGACTTGAAACCCTTCTCTCTCTCTCTCTCTCTCTCTCTCTCTCTGTGTGTGTGTGTGTGTGTTGTGGTCCTGCCGTCCCTGGTTCCCATGTCTCTCTATTTACTTCGATTTTATACGTGCAAACAGATGGGTTCAAGTGATGACCCCGAAGGTGCGACTCTGCCAGTTGGATCGCTAACTGCGGCTGTCTGCATCTCCTTGTTTTGCGATGTCACGTGTGTGGCTGGAATGATCATTTGAACTCTTTTAAGCCCACTTGCTCTGAGTTGGTGCGTCTTTGTTGCAGAGTCTTGTGCGATTCCTTGTTCCGGGTGCCTCCCCCGCCCCTCCCCTCCCCTGCCCCCCCTTTTTTTTTTAGTAATCCATGCTCTGCTCTACCTTAATACACCATGCTCTCCTCTAGCTCTACCGCTCTGGAGTGCGGAATCCCTGTCTCTCTATCTAGTCTTCTCATGTCGTCGAGTTCGAAAACGCGGATGTAGACCGCATGGGTGCGCGCGAGTTCCATCCAAATGTCGGAATCCCTGATTCAGATAATGTTCAATTAGAACCTAGGGATGTTGGAATGCGGATGTAGACCGCATGGGTGCGTGTGAGCTCGGAAGCTCTTTACGTATGGAAAATCTGATGTAGCCTTCAGTGCTTGCGCTTCCTTGTTGCCCCGCAGGGCCTCGCTCTGCTACTCAGTAAATGTGCGCGAAATTGGAATGAAGCTAGAAAACGTGGCAATATGCAACAGAGTGTTTTTTTTTTTTTTTTTTTCTCTTTTTTTTGCATTTGGTGAGTAGTGGAGCTCTAATTTCGTTTTTTTTTTTTTGTCCAAAAAAGGAGTGGCGTACCGCCGGGGGGGTGCTTGGAGTACTAACGTATGATGTTTTGGGGAATTTTGGGCACCGAATGTGTGTGATGTGATGTAGGCTTTTGGATATTCTCTTTTTGTTCTCCCTTTTTTTTTAAAGAATGATGGAAATCTTCTTTGGGCCAGCAATGAAAGGTGAAATTGAGAGAAGAATATAGCCTAATTTTATACTGAATAAAAAAGTTTCAACTCCAGGTGCAGTGAAAAAAAAAAAAAAAAAAAAAAATAAGCGATGGATTTTTAGATGGTACGACAGACGTCGCGATTGGGGGTGGTAGGGTGGTCGGGTGGGAGGAAGATGGATGGACATTGCCAGATTCAATGGCAGGAGAGTCACAATGACATGGGGTGCCTTATCAGCATTTGTGATGTTATTTATGAAGATTCTTCGCTTTTTTTAATTTCTGATTTGATGAATTTAGCTGGCCTGGGGCCGGAAATCGGTTGCCTCTCTTCGGTTTTGTGCCCGATTGAACTTGGAATGTAGACAGTTTTGTGCGTTATTGAACACTGAGTGAACAATTTTTGACCGGTTTGGCCTCTTCGGAGTGAGGAAGACACCCTTTGTCTCATTTGAACGCAAAGTCGTGAGTGATGAATCAATTATCTTTTGTCAGAGATAGGGATGAATCGGTTTATCTTCTCTTGGAGGTAGTGATGAATCGATTTATATCTTCCGTCGGAGGTATACCAATTGTACAGGTTCAGGAAGAGTTAGCTTGTGTGTGTGGGGGTGTGTGCTTGTATCACAGCAGTTGCAGGCCACACTGGTGGGGACCACTGGCCTAACTTGTCGGCCATGAGCGTTTTGGTGGGGACCACTTGCTCTGCATCCCATGACAGCCAAGTTCCATGTTGGCTCCCTCCTTCTCCTCCTCCTGCCTACGGTTCCCCTGGCAGTTCTCTATAACTATTTCTGAGATCCATTGTGTAACAGAGTGCTGCCCGGTGAACCAGATTGCAGAATGGGAGAAAGAGGACATATAAGTCGGCGGAGAAGGGGGAGGGCCGTGGGGTGAAGGAACTTCAGGAAGGGGGGATGATTCATGCTGAGATCAGGGGGAGGATGCTGGAGAAACTGACCGGGATGAAGAGGGAGGGGAGTTGCGACGTGGACACCTGGAGGCGGCCAGGCAGAGTTTCATGCCCGCTCACTGGGCCAACTTCACTGCAATGTAAGGTAAGACGGATGTATCTCCCTGGGACCCCTCCTTCCCCCGCCCCTTCTCTTCTGCTGTGGGAGGGGGAGGAGGCTGAGCATCAAAACAATGAGCACCTTTGGAAACCTGAGTGGCGCTGAGTATACGGACTCTGGGTTCTTCTGAAGAAACGTTGTGCGATCTATTTATAGGGAGCCGTGCTCTGTGGAAAATATATCGAGTGACCGGTTTCAGTTTTGGATGGTTTCGTTTTGAGAATCTCGTCCTGGAGTCTACGGTCGCCCGGGTCGGGGCGAGGTTGCACGGGGTGAAAGATATCTGCCGTGGATCTGCGCTGTCGATTTTGCCGACCTGTTGGACAGATGTTATAGTCCGTGCGAGCGGGGCTGCCAATAGGTGTACAGCCTGACCCACGTGGGAGTTCCCTTCTGCGGAAGCCTGTTTGTTTTCGGAAATCCATTTCGAAAAGGGGTCTACGGAAGCCAAATGAATCAGTGAACGGCTTGACGGAATGGGATCATGGTAGGCAGGATCTTTGAGGTGGCAGCACTGTGATCACGGCGCTTTCAGAATGTTGAAGTGGCTGCGCCTTGCGTCGCAGATTCTCTCTTTTGCTGTCTCATCGTTGCTGGGCAGCAGCAGTGCAGCGATTAGCCCCTAAGGAAAGAGAGAAAAGCTGCACTGTATTGGTAATAGGCAGGGGAAGAACAGTGTGCAGCGATTAGCCCCCGTGGCTGGATGGCATTAAGGGCTACTCTCTGCCACACAGATGCAGCTAACGTTAACCCACAGGCTGGCGGAACCTTTCTCGAGGAGGTAGACGACAGGCTCCGGTGGAGAAAGAAACCAGTGTGTTTCGATTGCGGAAGGTTTAGTTGGAGCCCAGTGTCGTTTTCTGTCGAACACAAGACAGAACAAGAGTGTACGGTTTTCACCTCGAACACTTTTTCTGGTTCGCAGCCCAATTTCTTTTCCTTCCACCCCCGCCCAAACCAGCAGTACTTCCTGGGCGCCTTTTCATCGATGTGCATGACTTTGTGCAGCCAGTCATTTGGGTCAGGTAGGCCGAGCCCTCTGTAGTGGTGGGTTAACCGGCGGGGTGGAGTAGGAGACCTGTGAAGCGTGCAAGTGGTTTGAAAGCAACCGTTTTGTTTTAAAGAAACAGGAGACAATCGTAAGTCCTCACGATACTGGGATCGTAATCCAGCTTTTCAGTCCTTGTGTGTCCACCGAGCGGAAGAAGACCACTTCTGCCATAAAACAGGCTCTACACTGAAAAACCTACTAGCTACCGTCTTCACCTGAATACAGCGTACGGTCATTATAGCTGTGTATGTGTTTGGGCTATCTTTTTTTTTCTTAATATAGCAGAAAATGACTGTGTACGTTGTATTTGGGTGAAGGCTGTCGCCTACACTTATCTACTTGTTTGGTGTGCCCTGGAGGGTGCGCAGCCTTCGATGGCCACTTCTGTTTTGCAGGTTGGGAAGCCTTTCAACCTACTTTGTGCTTTGCACGACGTCTGTTCATCCCCCCGTGTTTGGCTTCGAAAACTGGCGGTATGCCTGGCTCTTGCCCTGCTTGCTGCTCGACCGTTCACAGGGTACTTTGGCCGGCACGAAAATGCCAACAAGGAAGGCTTGTGCTCAACGGGATTGCCTTTACGATTTTCTTCGGCTTCGTTTAACCCAACAGTACGCGGCCGCGGGCCGCCTTCGCCACGACTTTCGGATGCCGGGAGGACAAACTGAGGCCATTGATGAATTTTATCGTCGGCGCCCTGGTCCAGTTTGTCCTCTCGGAGGCCGAGAGGACAAACTGTGGCCATTGATGAAGTTGCCACAACTTTCGGAGGCGGAGAGGACGAACTGTGGCCATTGATGACGACGAGTTGCGCCTTCTGCAGGGCTGGGCCAATCTTCCGGCGGGTTAAGAAACCCGGTAGTGTTGCAAGTTATTTTGATCTGCTGCTGTTTTCAGCGTTGTAATGAGAGTCTGGGCAGTTCGACCAGGGAGCAAGCGCAAGTCAGACCATGCAGCTAAAATCTGGCTCTCAGTTGTTTCTTGTTTTTTTTTTTTTTTTGGGTATCATATATTGAACTGACGAGGACAGATACGACACTTGATCTTAGCCAAACGGCCGAGAAAGGTGTGGCGGCTGGGTGTTATGCATGAGGTGGTATGGAAATCCGAAAGAGTGGAGTTAATCTTGCCATCAGATTTTTCTTTTTGAGGACCCAAATGCGCTATGTTTGCGACATCGGTTTTCTCCCTTGCTGAGTGTGTCGTGTCGAGCCCTGATTTTCTCTCTAACTGAGTGGGGGTCGTATCGCAACTCTGAAATACGGGGGGCGTTGCGGCCGGTTAGTTCTTTTGTCTTTTTGTGCGAGTCAAAATAGAGAGTAATAAGACAATGGGAACGTTTGCCGAAACTGTATTTTTGACTATTCTCCACTCCAGCACTACTGGCTAATAGGTGGTTTCATTTTTGCCATAATTCCCTGAAGTTTTGTGTGTGTGTGTGTGTGTGTGTGTGTGATATGTATGTCTTTTCGTGTGTGTGTGTGTGTGTGTGTGTGTGATATGTACGTCTTTTTGAGTATGTCTGTATTCGGTTTTGAAATTTTGAGAGAACTTCTGATGAATGTGGACCAGTAATGAAAAAGTTGGCAAAAACACCGAATTCAGAGAAAAAAATGGCAAACTGCGAAAGCTACTTCGAATCCTTTATTTTTTTGTGCTTTTTTTGAGTTTTTTTTTTTTTTTAAATGTTTGAATTATGAGTCTGCATTGTTTGTTCACGAAATGTTCGACGACATTTCTTTTGCTGATGTGACGAAAAAGTCTGAATTTTGGGCCTTCCATCTCTTCAAAAAGCTGAAAAGCGGCTTCAGCATCTCAAAAATTTTCAAAACAGATAGAACTGCCAATTAAGGTTGATTGCTTCCCCATGGTGAGCATTGCCACACCACTGACGGAATGTGAGAAAGACGAAAACCTATGGCGGGTGCATCCTTCTTTTTTGGGGGGCGGATATGTGCTCCGTTTTGTGCATTCGGGGAGTAGTGCGGCGAGATGTTAATTGAGTGTTATACAGTGTTGCATACCCCGACTGTTGGCGGCCCTTGCCGACCCGTTGGCTGGTCGGCACCCCGCAAAAGAAAGGAAAAAAAAAAAAAAAAAAAAAAACGTTTAAGAGACCGTTTTTTGTTTTTGCGGCCCAGAACTCATAACCCCACCAA